GGCGTATTCGCGAGGCGAGAAGTAGCAGTGCGTGTTTCTTCGTCCCTCTCCAAATATTGCGTGTAGGTGGGAGTAGGGCTTGTTCCATGCAACGGCTGAATGGGGGTGACAGGAGTGGTACCAAGGCGTGGAAGGTATCGCGTGCTTTCGGGTCGGGCTCGCTGGAATTTTGGCTCTTTTTTGGCGCTTGGAGAACGCGCCCGTCGATCGACCGCGATTTTTTTTGTGGTGTGTTTTGTTTCTTTCTTCTTTCTTGGCGACTTGATGTTCGCGTTAGAAGTGGGGACCGCAACACTGGGAGGCAGTTTTTGGTGCGTTTCTTGCCAATGTTTGGCGCGGGGGGGAGGGGGGGGGGGGGGGGTGACAATGGTATCTGTCATATGCGTGATCGACCGGTAGTATGCTTTCACAGCGCTCGTACGTGCTGTTGGTAGTTTTGTATCACGGTGGCGTATGTGAAGTGTTGGTCATTGTCGGCTAATGGCGGCGTGTTTTTTTTGTGTGTTGCTCGGCTCTCCGCGGCAAGGTGTGGTCTGGTTGGTTTGTTTTTGGGGCCGCCTTTGGTGTCGCAGCAGCAGCAGTGTCACGGTACACAACACCAACCAGTCGATTCTTGGCTTTCTCTTCGCGTGTGATTTCTTGTGTCAGCGCAAGGGAAAGAGGTAGCTGCTGCTGCTGCTGCTGCTGCTGCTGCTGCTGCTGACCTTTTGCGCCCCTGGGGTGCCGCAAGAGTGCATGTCGGGGTGGGTTGGGGGGTTCGGTGCGGTCAAATCTTCCGCCCCTTTGTATGTGGAGTTGCGGCGAGTGCGCGGGCCTGGGTGCCTCTTCGCAGTTAGTTGTGGTGGAAGTCCAGGCATGTATGTGCAGTTTGTGGGACTACTATAATAGTACTGCAGGGACCGCCCCCACATACCACCCATGTTTTTCTTTTCTGTATCATGGGGGGGGTACGTGTCGTTTTTAAGAACGTTGATCGATGATGAGCAATAAAATAAACACAAAAAGGCAAAAAAAATTGAGGATGGCTGCTGGACTGTGGATTCATCCCCCCCGAAAACAATCATGGCGACACACGAACCCGCTACAATACGCGACGTCTGTGATGAAGCTGCTGGTTTCCCTTGACTGGCCGTTGACGGACAGAACCTGCCACCACCCAGCAAGAAAAGTAAGTCTGATACGAGGCTTCCATTTATCCTCCGTGAGTATAGCCAATTTATCCTCCGTGAGTGTAGCCAACAGCAGCCCGGCAGCGTTCAAAAGCATGGTTACGGTATTTAGGGTTTTGCGTGGGTTCAGGTCAAGTTGTCGAACTATGTGAATAGCAAAACTAACCGTGATGCTCTTCCTCCCTTTCCTAAGCTATCATACAATTGTATACCAAAACTTGGTGGTGGCCTCTCTATTCTGGCACGCCGTTGCCTCCTGTCGACTTGGCTTCGTGCTGAACACGAAAGGGAGAGCAATTTTACTTGTGGCATGGACCATGTGTGTGCCCCCTTCGACGCCTCACTCATCATGCCGAGGTACATTTCCTCCGGCACGCACACACAAGCAAGTTCTATTCTGAAGCTCTATAATGTTTTTGTCACTCGATCGGTCATTGTCCATCCGTGGGCGGAAATTTCATTCGTATCCCCCCCACCCCTTTTGCCCGCTCGGCCTAAGTATGTGCTCATCTCGTGCGCACGTACTGCTTCTTGGCTCGCTTGCTTGTTGTGTGCTATCTCGCCTGCCCACAGCCACCTCCCTAGCTAGGCAGCCGCATGATGGCCGGCTCTCGCTCGTGAGCCTTTCCGCCTTCGAGACCATGAGCATTTTGAGAAATGCGTAGCGCTCGCCCTATTAGGCACGCTTCTTCCTCGTCTTGCGATTGCAACTCTTCACTTTCACTCGTTTTAGTTCATATCGATCTGCATGCAGTCAGTAGTCCAAAAGCGTATGTGATGCATGCAGCAGTAGATGCTTTTGGACGTAGCGGTGGCGTGCTCTCTCGCCTGCCCACACCACCCACATAATCGTCTGCTTGCCGTCGCACAATTTTCCTCCGCCAGCATCCCTCTGCCTCCCTCGCTTCTCCGCACCCAGCACCAGTCCGCACCAATGTCCCCCTTGCGCGGCCGACGCAACAAGTTTGACCTGCACGTCTCTCCATCAGCCGGCCCAAGCCTACACTACAAACAAGAAACCTCGTCATTTCAAGTGCTCATATCTGCTATCGGTTGGATCAAGGGTGGCAAATCAACTACTTGTACGAAGGAGGACAAAAAATAGGGTACGTTTAGTCCCCTTCTCGACGTGAGGAGAGGACAAAACTACCTTACGATCTGTCCTCTACCGTACCGTAGTTTGTATTGCCGGTTGGGTCCGGCAGGCGGAAATACTCCTCAAACACCGCTGTCCCCTTTTCTTACCCATGCTGCAACAAGGAGCGCTTGAAAGGGCGAGCGTTCTTATCGTGGCAGCAGCAGCAGCAGTAGACTTGGTGGTACGAAACGCGCAGAAATAACCCCTTCTTCAAAATCGAACTCCCAACTTCTTGCCGAGGATACCAACAAGATAGGCCTACCGGACGGGGTGCAACTACCGCAATCCTTCGGCGTGCGTGTGATTCTCTCTCTCTCTCTCTCTCTCTCTCTCTCTCTCTCTCCCTCTCTCTCCCTCTCTCTCCCAAGTGCCCCGATGTCGAGTCGGAGTGCACAGCCAACCATGCAAAACTACAAGAAGCGCTCGACGACACGGGGAGGACTGGAGGCAGGCAATGTTCTTCACGAGGCATCTCAGTGCGATATTCAAGCCTCCCCGGGATCGCTACAGCCACAACAAACAGCAAAAACGGTTGTCAGGTTTGCCCCCAGCCCACCGTTGTCAAGACGTGAACACAACGAACAACGCACGATAGGCATTCCAACTCCAACACAGCTACAAATACGGACAGAATCAAATTACAGTCAG